GATAAAAAAAAATCATCCGAAATTAAGCACCCCCTATAACAAAAAAGGGGTGCTTAATTTCGGAACTATACGGTATTTAAAAAAATATAATTTATAACTAATAACTTAATAATGCTATTGGATGAATAAAAGCTAACATTTTTTAACTTTGGGATAATTATATAAAATTAAAAATATTAAGATCTCTTGAGATTAATTTCAATAGCAGTATTTGCCGGCGTTCCCTTATTTAAAACATAAATATAAAGATGCCGCCCTGGTGGCATAATATTAGGGTGTGGTGGTAAAATGACATCAATAGCATATCCTGATGGTGTTAGTGTTTGACTTTTAATTTGTAAGCTCACATAACGAGCAGACATGTGTTGTGAATGTGTGGCAAAGCCATGATTAATTAAAGCAGCAGTAATTATTGCAGTGGGATCATCCAGATCAATTAATATTTTGACTGTCTCACCATATGTCGTTTGAATAGGTATTATGGAGTTAAAGACTGTCATACCCTCGATACTTTTGATAATAGGTCGAGGGGTACCATTCAAAAGATTTGGAGGAGTAAAAATTTCCACACGATATCTAAAAATTTATAAAGTTACATTAAATTAAGAATAGTCTATTAAAAGAAAACTAAAATATTGATTAACTTACTCTGTAGGGTATTCACAGACATCACAATATTGATCATTTGGGTTACTACCAGCGACAAAAACTGTACCATCTGGAATCAAAGTTGCAGTTGAATGGTAAACACGAATATAATTTGCTTCAGCCATCCTGGTGAAACGAGAACCATGAGGGGCTTTTGGATCATAAAGTAATGGTATTTTTTGAGGTAAACTTGCAGTATGTTGTCTATTGGTAATATCACCTGAATCTATGAAGAAGTAAGATTTGATAATTTTCATGAGATACTATGAGCATTGAAATACTACCAGGTATGAGATACTACAGTATTTAAAAATTTAACATACCCCAACCAGCATGACCTATACCGGCGCCATTCACGATAAGCACTTTTCCATCAGGCATATGAATGTAATCACCCATTAAACGTCCTGAATCGAGATCACCGAAAGGTTCTAAAACCCATTCAGGATCAGGTAGGGCTAAATTAATTCTTGCGCAATCTTTTTCACCTTTGTCATTGGGTTCTATGCCAGCAGATCCACCGCAAGCGACAATTTCGGCGGCGTAATTATCTTCATAATATAATGGCAAAAGAAATATAGTGCCAGTAGCCGGAAATGTGCGTGGACCACCAGGAATATCTGACAAGGTTTTAACAGTTTTTTGCTCAATATAATCCCAAATTATTGCTTTCTTGTTTGCTGACATATACAACCAAGTTTGATCCGGTGGACCGGGAAGCACAAATGCTGCTGGATATAGATTGTATGGCATTCTATATTAAAAAAAAAAAAAATTTAACATTAAAAAAAAAAAAATTGTTCGAGCAACACACGCGAGAACCAAAAAAAACTACTTACGTATCTATAAGGAATTGGAACTTTACACTATCAGATTCTTTTGGAAAAAACTCGTATGAAGGATTGTTGATTGAATGGTTATTAATAGTTGTTTGTATTGTTGCAGTTGTTCCACCAATATTGAAAACTCTACCATCCGGAAGCGTTACCATAGTGTTATACCATCTTGCTTTTTCCATATATTCAGGAAACTCTAACCAATCACAACTGTCATCATCGCATGAAGTGAATAAACGAACAGATTGGAGACCAGTCTTTGAACCAAACTGTGTAAAACGGATAAAAACATTAAAAAGAGCTTTAATTAAAATTTTTATTTTATCAACTAAACTTACAGCATCTTCAGCACCACCGGTTTCAACCAATGTACCGTTTTCGATGAAAGACCCAGCTGAACAGAAAGTGTTTGTTTCTAAATTAAGAATACGACTTTTGCCTGTAGTTAAATCATATTCTGAGGTGAATGCGTAACGCCCATCAGGATAAACTGCATCAGGATTCTTTCCAGCTATTTATATTTTATAAATTTAAAATTTGAACATGTTAAGTATTAAATTCTTTATTGAACATACATATACAGTATACACGCGCAACTAAAAAAAAAAAAAAACCTTTATCAATGATAATAATTTTTGTGGGTCGCACTAAAACAATATGCATAGCAGCTACTATAGTTCTAAAAAATAATAAAAATAAGTAAGCCATAGCGAGTAAACCTTTTAAAAAATTCATGATACATACTTTCCGACCTCTTTCCATTCACCTACTATAGAGGGATCTAACAGTTGAAGAATCGAATATTAGATAAATGATATAATTATCGTAAACGTGCGAATTTCTTCTTTTTTTTTTTTTAAAAAAAAAAACAATTACCTGGAAATGGAATTACCACGCCGTATATTATTTCTAATGAAATAATTAAAAAATATAGAAATGTAATTTTCATTTTCAAAGATTAACAGATAAGTAAACTCTTCAAAGAAAAAAACCCGTCTCAACGGCTGTATTTATTAATTTTAATCATTTGGGAGGAATCCATGTATGTTTTAAATAACTTAACTATTTCTATCTCTATTTTTAGATTAATAACAATACCGTCAAGCTTCTAGGCGCTCCCCCTCGCGGGACTATAGTAAAAAGAAAAAAAAAGAGCAAAATGCGTATTTAAAGAGGGTGTTCGTTTATAGAAAGCAAATATGAAGCTCCTGTAAGTTAGGACCAAGCTATGCTATGCGTTTAAAAAATATATATAAAAATGACCATTTAAAAAATGTGCATTTAAGTGCCCGAAAGCATCCCACTTGTGGGAAAAAAGGGAGGTCTAATTGTATAATGGGCCATACTACTAAATCGGAAGAGCACCAAACATTATGATGTCAAACTTAGCCCCAGGATATTGACTATGGAAAAAAAATCCAAGAGTGGGAGTAGCGTTGCAAACTTAATTAAATTTAAATGCTAATATAATTTACTTAGCAAAAAATATTTATTGATTACAAAAATTATAATATATCGTAGAATTATAAAAGCAAAAGGTTATTACAGTAATTCAATTAATAACTTTATCATTGATAAACTGTCTATGATAAAAATCGTATGATCAAATTAAGCCATCGCTATCTATGATAAAATCAAAATTATTATTATAAACTAGCTTCTACAAAATTTATCTAAAATTTGGGATTATTGTGCAAATATCAAATAATGTTACTAACGACCGTAGTGCAACTTGCCATTTTTGTCCAAAGTATTGGAGCTGTGAACATGGAAGTTCATCTTGTAAACATTTGTATTGATTATTCTAAAGATATAAAAGAATATTGAAGAGTTACTTTCAACTAAAATTGTGAAATCGACAAAGCTATTTTAAGAGCTTTATATTTAATTGATGCAATGCTTTTTATTGTACGTACGTAGTTTAAATAAACTTGTGCTTACATTTACGGCCTTTAAATAATGCAAAAATTATCAAAAATACATTAATTTGATTTTTTGCTTATAACCCCATAACCATGTATAGTAAATTGTGACGCACATGACTATAAGTTTTACTATAGTATACCAGTATACTAGACCGATTTGAATGATTTAACCGCCATTTAACCCAGAAAATCATGCTCTACAACGTTACTTAGAAATTGAAGAGACATTTACTTTGTGGAAAAATGACTTCGCTTTGTGGTGAAGTGCATTTGTGGCTTAGCAATTTTTCATAGTAAAATTTATAGATCTGTGCGCGTAACAATTTACATTATACTATATATGGTTTCCTCATTCGGAAACGGATTATTAAGTTTGCAACGAAAGTGGGAGGTAATAAGCCCTGTAAAAAAAGTTTATTTGAACATTTCGTCATATTCCCTTATTTCTGTAAAAATTTCATGAATCTGCAACATGATTTAGTAGGCCGAATATTTAATTATTTGAAAGTATAAATTCCATTAATTGAACATTTATGGATAAATGGAATAGAAAACGCAGATTAACTTTTTTTTATAGGGATGGTGAATTATAGGTAAGGGCTGGCAATGATGTTTAAGAAAGAATAAACAAGAATGTAATGCTTTATTTAAATTGAATAAATTTAGCAAAAGCTAAACAATCTTTAAATGTGATCAACAATGAATCAATCGATAAATAATTTGAATAGTCTTTAAGAGTGATTTGAATGACGAAAAGGGAAAACCTGTAAATCATTTCACTCATTATCATCGCAGTTATATGTACCCCTAATTCTTATAGGGGTAGATACCACTGCAATGATAATGAGTGAAATGGTTTACAGGTTTTCCCTTTTCGTCACTCATATTTTGATATAAATAGCAATTGCTTTTTAGGGGTTTGGGCGGCATGTATAACTATAGCCATATTGACTGTTAAACTAGTTTTCCGATTATGACAATACAAATTATTAATGTTATTCTTTTAATAATATTATGTGTTTGTGATTGCAAATATTTGAAAGACACAAAGAAAATAATTGACATAAGTTTTGGTTTTTATATGATCAATTATATCAGAAGTGGAAACCTGGGTTTTATGATAACGTTCCACTTACCAAACAAACCTTTGAACTTCATTACTAGTTAAATCTAATACTTCAAAGACGTTCATTGCTATAAAAATGGGATAAAATTTTAAAAAAAACTGGTTGAGAAATAGCCAAAAATTTATAATAAATTTAACAAATTTCCTATAGGTTGATTCCTCGAGCAATTTTATGTGTTGAACCTCCGTTACTCTTAGAAAAATTAATGAGATGGTCTTCCCCTCATGTATACAATGCCAATACATAAACACCAAAAATATCAAAATGCGTTTAACTGTTATCTTGATTCTTTTAATGTTGTTTACTAAATGTGCCGTGGGCTACAGTCCTACCGGAAGAACAGATACGGAAGCCTTAATAATATTAAATAGGATATATTTTTATGGTGGATGGAATTTATCTATATTGGATGATATTTTTTATATTGATCTGTCCAAACAATTTCAAGCCACCAATCCACCATTTACATTACAAACTAACCTTAAACAGAGAGGAGGATATAAAGCAGTTATTTATGAAAACATGATAGTTGCTTTTGGCGGTTATGACCAGGTGATAATTAGAACCCGTTATAAGAATTTTAAGAAATATGTATTAAATTTCGTAAATTTTTGAAGACAGGAAACACAAATAATCTCCTAATTATTGATGAAGCATCATCTAATCCGTATGTTACCATTTTAAATGCAAGTGGTACGAACGTTACGAACGCTAATTCATGGCCATCTCCAAGAAAATGGATGACTGCTGTAATTGATTCTAACAGTACGAAAATGTATGTTTGGGGTGGTACCTCAAGTGTAGCGTACGTATTATTTTTGTGCAGTATTTATATAACTAGTAATCCAAAATGGTAAAATTTATTACAAAATTTAAAGCCCTAATTACCTGAATACTGATGGAACAATGTACATACTTGATCTTAAAAGCTATTTTTGGGTTGTCAATAATTTGCCTACCCAACCTATGGGCCGTCAATTACACACAGCGACAATGGTGCCTGACGGACGGATAGTCATGATTGGTGGCATCTTTAATCCTAATATATCACAAGTAAGTCATTTATTATACAGTATGGTGCAACCAGTGTTGGCATATGACCGGAAATGACCTAAATGACTAAGTGACAAAGTCACAGGTCATACAGTCATGTGACCTTGATTTGACCTAATGTGACGTAGTCAAACCTTCTTCTGATTCGTCGGTCATATTTATATAGTTGTTCTGTTAATATTAATCATTCATAATGTGACCATAGTGACCGATGGCTATAGGTTATGAGCATAATGACCAAGGCCATTTAAGAAACATGGCCTAGCCATTTACCAACACTGCTGTAGTCCCATCAAATCTGTGCTGTTTACACTATTTCTAGGCTCTGTGGACTCCTAATAAATAAGCATAAATTCGCAAAATAAATACATAACTTGTTAAGCATTTCTACAATTATAGAATCACTTTTTTTTTTTTTTTACAAATTTACGCTTATTCATTAAAAGAAGGATGTCTTTAAGGTGTTTTCACCATAGTTAAATAATATTCACATAAATGAAACCATTTTAACTATAAATATTTCCAAAGCTTGATATTTATGATACAATAGCTGGTCAATGGTCGCAGGTAAAGTTTAATACATATAGCATTAACAACCTTTTACAAAGATACAATCATGAAAATTTTCCTTTACAGAAAACAACATTAAACGGGTCGACTTCTGGTCGGTGGTCTCATACAGCAACTCTCGCAACCGATGGCAAAAGTATAATAATATTCGGTGGTGTATCTAATAATACTAATAATATAGATGGTATTACCATCTTGAATCTCACAAATTATGTTTGGACGTCTGTTTATCCTTCTGGCAATCCACCAGTTCAATATCCGAGTTCACACACTGCTGTTCTTTATAATGATTATATATTTTTTTCGTTTGGTAAGATATCAGTCAGTTTAATTTTTGCAATTGTATCGTTTATATCTTTACCTTTTTAATTGCACATATTAAATGAAAATACATTTGTTCAGGCATAGCTGGTTCAAATTTTATTACCACAGTAAGCATCCTTAACATCTCTAACAATCAATACAAATGGGTTGACTCATACATTCCACGTGGACAATCTTGTATAATTGAAGGTGGAGATATAGTGGGGCCAAAAATTAGAGCAGCAATTTACACACAATGTTTATTAATGGCTTTCAAATTGTGGATAAAAAAGAAATCTGTAATTATCACGGCAGTTCCTTTCGGATTAGTAATATCTTCAGTATTAATCATAGAGGCTATACTTCAACATATTAATAACGACTTACATTATGTCTTTCAAATAGAAGTAACTTATTTATCAACTTCATTATTGACCACAATAATGTATTCTATGTTTACTTTATTGTTTATACCTAAAAAAAAAATTTTTTTTGCAATTGGGCTGCTGGCTTCATTAGTTGGCTTGTTGATAACATGTTATAACATATGGTTGTGGACGACGATTAAATGGAATTTAGCCCATCAAGAGTGCAGCAACGACGTGAGAGTTTTTTGGTTAGTTATCCCATTAGACCCAATTGGCTGGGTACGAATCTTCGCATTAGTATTAAATTGTATAAGTTTAATATTATTTAGTATGTGTACTTTTATATATAGTTACATACTTATATCATATGATGAGGAAGATGAAGATGAAGATGAAGATGAGAAAAAGGTCGCCAAATTCTATATCATGATATTCATTTTACCAGGATTAATAGGAGAAATAGCATCATCGGAAATATTTCTACAAAGAAATCCTGTAGGTGAAATTTCAGGAGGTTGGAATTTTAAAGAAATAATAATAGTAATAATGAGTGGAGGTGATGCACTTACTACACTACTTTCTTTATTGGGATACATTTGTCTTTGTAATGATCTGAATTATCGTATGATATTCTATTTATAATTTATTATTATGTATTATTATTATTATTATGTATTATTATTATTATTATGTATTATTATTATTATTATTATTATTTTAATTCTGTAGTCATGTATTTTAACGTTTCTGATTAGTTGTATCGAGAAGCATACTTGCGTTAGAGAAAATGATATAATTATTATTATTATTACATCCCCTTTACATAATTTCGGTAATATGTACTTTATTATTTTTGATAGTCATATTTGAAAAATGTGACTTGAGTGTAGGAAAATTATATATTTACATACAATTCATAATATTGAATTGTGAACGACAGGGTTACAAGAAAAATTTGAAAACTTAAATATGCTAAAAATTTACGAGATGTGGTTCCAAAAGCTCCCATAACATTCCAATTTAAAGATTTTAAAACACAAATAAGATTTTGCTGTAATATTCTATTTATTCTTAAGTAAGCTATCTATCTTCTGCAGTATATAAATCTTTTATCTGATGTTTAATTCAGAGTTCATCCGTTTAGTATCTGTGATTTGACATCCATCTGTGTTCTCAAAATCTGTAACTATTGTGACATTTTGATCATTTGTATGATTGCTAAACCTGTTACTATTGCGACATTTTTTATCATTCTTTATAATTATTAAATTTGTTGTAATTATTGCGAATAGATGGCTGAATTTACTTAGTATCCATTTACAACATCTGCGGTTATCTGTATGAATGTCAGTTATGTATTCGAATTTGTTAAAAAATTATGGATTGAATATTATTATAACTTTAATTATGTAATCTAAATAATTATGCAATCGATCCACTAATTCAAGCCCGTTAATTCTTATTTTCCCAAAATACTATTTCTCCAATCCCATAATACTGACATCCCGTTTTTCTGACAAGACATATTTATGACAGTACATTTCACTGAAAAAATTTTTTATGAATTTTTTTTCCCTGACACAGCCAATTCCCCGACAACCTGAACTTCTGAAAAAAATTTATTTGACAGGCTTTTTCACTGACAAAACCTTTTTTTAGAACTCCTGTTTCTCCAACAAGAACTTTTTTAAAACCTTTTCACAAACAAATATTATATGATATATTTCCCTGAAAGGATGTTTCTCCGAAAAAATAATTTATCGAAAAGATTATTTTCTGAAAAGATGTTTCCTTGAAAGAAAATTCTCAACAAGGTATCTCCGTATGGGCTAAAATTTCCAGTCAGAACATCGTGATTATTAAAAAGTTAATGTGATATTAATAGGATGAAAATAACTATATATAAAAACTGATAAGAACTGTAAACAATTAAGATAAATTATATGACTGACTATAAAATTTATAGAGTAACTGTATAAAAACTGATAAGCTATTTAAAAACCTATAAAGTAAACTATATAAAAACTGATAAGCAACTGATAAGTAACTCATAAGAAATTTATGAAAATATCACTTTTAATCTCAGTAATCACTCCAAATCTTGTATATGATTGGTTTAAAATTTTTTTTATATAATAAAAATTATAAAAATTGGAAATTTTAGCCCATACACTCAATTGAACAAAATTGCATAATTCTTTAAGCTCAATGCTATTTGATATTAATTTATTTAATTAACTAAAAAGACAATATAAGAATAATTATACCTTTTTTGTATTAGGTCTATAGTTGTTAGACAAACCTTTTTTGCATAATGATGAAAGACAAAACCTAAGATGAAGCCTTTAATAAAAGTCAAAACCCCAAATTCTTCTGATGAAAGATGAAACCTTAAACTTAAAATAACGAAACCTTATACTTAAAAGGATGAAACACTAGTGCTTCAGCTAAAAAACAAGAAAAAAAAGCAAATGTTATCACTATAAAAAAGTAATACAGGTTGTGGTATGGGTTGGTTTTGGGAATATACAAAATAGCATAGATTGTGTGGCATGCACAGGCACATTTTACGGAATAGTACTAGAGATGGGAAAAATGCGCATTTTAAAATAACATGCGCATGAATGCGCATTAATGCGGACGATATATAAAATGCGCATGATATCGCATGATATAATTTTTTTAATTTTATATTTATCCTCCGGAAAATATCAGATATTTGCCAAAAAATTTTTTCCCGACCCTTCTTATCTTTATGTTCATTCATTTACTTTCAGAATTTTTCAAAATTTCTGCATTCCTATTTCTTAATTTTGCCTAGCATTATACACCTTGGCCTAAATTAAATATACTTTATTTTTCCTATATAAAATTTAGATGGGATAAAATGTGCATGATTCCGAATCATGCGCATTAATGCGCACAATTAAGGAATCATGTGCACGCATGGAACCCATCTCTAAATAGTACAGTAAAAATAACACAGATATTATAGTAAGAGGTAGCACATTATATCCAATTATACAGAATAACACATTCAGATGACATGTATATGTATATTGCATACTGTTGGCTCATTTCACAAAGAGTAAAAGATCAATAAATAAATTTTTTTTAAATATCTTATAATTTTACTATGAAGTATTTTAAATATGCAGTTAGTTTGTTCATATTATATTGACTATAATGTAAATTTTATGGTTTAATCATTAATCCACATGTTTATATTTGTTATTGTAGTAGTACATGAATTTATATATTATTTTCTGTGCCAAATCCTGTGCTGATTCAACTAAAAAACTGCTGAAAAACCAAGCTATTTATGGTCCGCATGGGCATATGGTCCCACATGGTCCACCAAGTCTGTACCAACTCAAATCATACTTGTACAAACCCAGATCTTAACCCATGCACAAAAGCCTATGCCTATCAGAAACTAACCTGTGCCAATCTGGTATATGGGGTTGAGTCAATAGAAACTAAGCAAATTTTTTTAATAAGTTTTTTTAAATTTTAAGCAAGAATAATTTAACAAAAACTTGATCAGATTTAATAAAAATTTTTTTAAATTAATTCTACAAGTTTGTAAAAATTATTTAAAAAAATTTTATTAAATTTGGTTAAGTTATTCTTGTTTAAAGTTATAAAAAAATTTTATTATAAAAAATTTACTTGATTTTTATTGACTCACTCATATTTTCCTTATTAATCAGTTTTTGTAACCCGGCCAAGTCAAATTTTGAATATTTTTATAAAAAAATTTTTTATTTGTTTTAATAACCAAGTAAGTTTTTAAAAAAGTTTCAAGAAAAATTTTATAAATTGTTATATATAAAATTAAAAAAAAAGCCACCTGGCTGGGTCTATTTAAAAAGTTTCATGTTATAAAAACCAATAAATTAAATTTGCATGCCATAATATTCATAATTTATTTAGCAATTATGTATTGATAAATCCATATATATTTGTAGCAAGTTAAATGCTAATATGATATCAAGTAAATAACTTGTAGAGAAAATAATATGTAGCTTTACCATTAAAACAGGTCCAATTAGAATATATTCTTCAGTGACAATAACAGTTTTAGATGAGACTATACATAGAGAATATATGGGGTCTAGCAAACAAAAACATGGCTTATGGTATTTTTTTGCAAAATAGAGTTAATGATACTATTATATAAAGTGGCTATTCTTCTATATAATTTAAAATTTAAAACATTGATTTACATAATAAAATTTTTATAGATGTCTACTTTTTTAAATATCATATATGATAAAATGTAATCTAAAATTAGATTTTAGAAGTTCTGTTGTAGATTATTGCTGGAGGAACATCACATGATTGGTCAAATTGTGTTGATCTAACAGGTTTTACTAATAATAAATGTTCATTATTATTGATATACTAAATTTTAAATGTGATTTTCTCAAAAATGAAAAAAATCCATAAGCTGTGTTTTTGTTTGCCAGACCTCATATAATACATTATCTACCTACTTTTGCAAAATAATATGCAGGGGTGAAATTACAAATTTCAGCCTAAATTAAGCTTAATTTGGGCCAAACTTCTAAATAATGCCCATGTCTGTTATTTCACAAAAATACAGTACTTATTTTATTACATATTAGAACTAATAAAAAAAACATATCAGCAGATTTTTGGAATTTACTATTAAAAATTTTAAAAATATTTAACAGTGAATAACCTTTGATTTACTGATCCATTTTTGACAAAACAATTACCAAAATTTTTATCTCAGTAAGACAATTCTAATAGATATAAAATTGTCAAAATTCAATTACAAGATTCTGATATCTTTTATGATTTGTTTTACTTCAGGTATTTTAGAATTGGTTTAACCAATTCTAAAACACCCAAAGCTATACTAATTTCTACCAATCTCGGGGTTCTGTAATTGGATTTTTGATGATTTTGTGTCTATTAAAATCATCAATGAGATGAATATTTTGGTAATTGTTTTATCGAAAACAGACCAGTGGATCAAAATTATTTACTGTTAAATATTTTTAGAATTTTTAATAGTAAATTTTAAAAATCTGATATGGATCAAATTTTTTTATTATAATTTTTGTTATGGCCTGGTTAAAATTAGAAGAAAAAAAAACAAATTACTAAAAAGCTTGGAAAATATAAATATAGACATAAATTAAAATAAACATATGAGTGCAAAAAAGTTGGTTTTTTAATAGCATTAAGAAATTAGTTTATGCCATTTTTGAAGGTTTTACTACAAAATCCTAAAAGACAGTTTCTCAAAAGTATCTAATACCAACAAAGTTAGCTATAATACTTGCCAATTTAGTTAGTAGGTATTATGTTTTTTTAGGAAGTGGCTTTTAGATTTTGTAGTAGAACTATTTTTGGTTTATCAAGTGACCCAGAATTAATAAAAAAGAAAAATGTATTTGTCGTCTCCTATTAAATCAAATTTTGTTACAAGTCATAGTGATTGGCTGATTTATATAGATTACATCAACTAATTAAATTAAAAATTTATAAAAATTCTATACTTTGAGCAATAGTATCTTTACAACCACTAAATTAATTTTAATAAACTTTTTTTTATTCGAATTCTATTAATCTGTAGAATTCAAATAAAAAAAATAGTCATTGAATTTGGGTAGGTAGTTGTTGAGCTATCTTCACAAAAAATTCAAAACATCTATTAAAAAGAAGAGCTGCGCCAAACTTTTCTTAACTTTGAATGAAAATTTCTTGATATCCACCAAGCCAAATTCAATGAACTTTTTTTATTTGA